TTACTTTCAGAAACCATCTAGGGTTGAAGGAGATAGAAAGAGTTGTAATTATGGCTGTTTGTATGATTGCATTCCTTAGGTAAATGGCAGAGACGTTACTGGACGAACTCAGGAAGAGCTCGTGGCCATGCTGAGAAGCACCAAGCAGGGAGAGACGGCATCACTGGTCATTGCCCGCCAAGAGGGGAATTTTCTGCCCCGAGAGCTGGTAATGTTCAGATCTCAGTTGCAATGAATTTTCAGTGCAGAGCTTAAAATACTCAATGAATTCATAATAGCTGAGAAAATGAGTTCTAAATCACAGGGTTCTTTTAGGGCATTGAGGCAGTGAGTTGTGTATATGTAAATAGTGCTTCTAGGGCAAAAATTCAAATACCCTCTAACAATCAACTGTTCAACAGTATTCGTATGATTCAATAAAATATACATTGGGTATGTGCTATGTGCTAGGCCCTATGCAAAAACTCCCTTTTGTAAGCAAAATAGTTCATGGCCCTACTTTAATGGAGTTTACAGTCTCTAAAAAGAAAAAATATATAACCATGTATTCAAAATGATAATGAAGATTGTGAAGGAGAACTTCAGGGTGCTGCAGTAATATAGGACAAGGGAATTTAACCTATTCTTGAGGAAGAGAATTTCAAGTCTTATTAAAAAATTATACCCTTTGGCCTAGTAACTACTTTTCTAGTAACCTGTTATAAACTGATGGTCAAAGATGTGGAAAAAAATTCATGTACATTGATTTTTTTTTTCCTAAAGTCCAATCTATTGTAGTGATGTATTGGGTATGGTACAACCATAAGGTATTGGTTAGATAAATAACTAGATAGCTCTCCAGTGGAATATAATAAGTACTTAAAAATGGTCTCTGTGATAAATTGATACTAACATGAGAAAATGTTCATAGCATAATGTTAAGTATAAATGTAGGGTATAAAATTATATATGCAGTATTATCAAATTACATTTAATAGCTTAAAAAAGAGAACTGGAAGACATGCACTTGAAATTTGGGGGTTATGAGAGGTTTTAATTTTTTCATTTTTTTCCACAATGACTACATATTATTTATTTTACTGAAATACTATGCTTTTAAGAAGACAACAGAAAATTCAAAAGGGAAACATATGCGATAAAAGGACTTTTAGTTACCCCTTATTTTTTATTTTATTTCCTTTGAATCTATAAAAGAAATGACAAAGGCACATACAGGTAATATGATAGGTTCCCAGAGTTAGTTCATCTGAACAGTGAGGGTTAGTTGAGAGAACTGAGGATACTTAGTTTGAAAAAGAAAGTTTAGGAGATGTGATAATCGTTATCAAATATGTAAAGAGTTGTATGGATTGGAAGGTAGACTTACTCTGTTTCTTCAGACACTTTTATTCATTAATCTACTTACATGTTAATTCAACAAATAATTTGCCGAGTATCTGCTATGTATAAAGTTGGAGGTTCTTGGTATGCAAAAATCATTAAGACTCATTTTGTGACTTCCTCAGACTTTTACCAAAAGAAATGTTTGGAAGGAGATAATTTTATAAGAACTTTCTAACTATTTGGACCTGTAGTATCTGCTATGTATAAAGTTGGAGGTTCTTGGTATGCAAAAATCATTAAGACTCATTTTGTGACTTCCTCAGACTTGTACCAAAAGAAATGTTTGGAAGGAGATAATTTTATAAGAACTTTCTAACTATTTGGACCTGTCCAAGAAGGAAATGGCTTATTTAGAATATTCAGAGCCTGAGTCACCATCTGTCAAAGAGGCTGTAGAGAAAAGTTCTCTCATTAAGAAGGCTCAATAAGTCGGGACAAACTCTAAGATACCTCTCTGTACTCTGATCCTACTCTTCTGTTTCCTGTGTTTATATCCGTATTTGAGTGCACAACCTTGTATATTAATGCTCCTGAGTACTGGCCCAAAGCCTCCCTGCCCTCCAAGTTTCTTTGGCATGGAATTTCCTTTCTATCCTTCCTTCTCTCTCACATCATCTTATCCATTTTCCACTTGCCCTATTGTATGCTCTGGGAAAATTTGTAATAAAAGAGGGAAGAGAACAGCAAGTGTATAAACCGTAAGGATACACTCCCGCCTCGTTCCCTCCACCCGCCTTCTCCTTTCTCAACCATTTTCTGTCTCTTCTCCTCACTGAAGCTCCTTACTCTTACTAGAGAGAAATACTGCAGAAAGTTGGAGTCTAGATTTTTTTTTTTTCTCTAAAATCGGATGGATTTTTCTTTCAATCCTTTGTTTATCTGAGGACCTAGGACTTTCTCTGCAAGGGTCAATGTGAAAAGAAACAATAAAAAAGGAGCAGCATATATATAGCAGGAAGCCCTTTTACTTCTTGTCCAATTCTTTGGTGATTAGAGATAAAAACTCTCAGAAAACCTCAGTGGGATTATGTGCTTATTTCAGAGATAGGAGAACAATGAAAGAAATTTTGACAGTGTGCTCTGCTGTGCTATGATCCTGAAAGGACTAAAATCCTGCATAGATAGATAAACATTCCAACCAGTCCCTGTGCATGCAAAAGAACCTAATGACAGGGATCCAACTAGGAACTTAAACCCTCCAGAGGCCGCAGTTCCCCATCTCATAGTTCTTTATACCCCTCTCCCACATGGCCTTGAGATACTCCCAACTCCACAGCTCCTCCTAGAGGATTCCCCCCTCTGCCAGGTAAGGGGGAAAAGGATGCTGACCTTATCCCAGTCTAAAACTCTGAATGCATTTTCAATCAAACACTGTTACATCTGGAAGTTAGCAAATAGAATAAGACTGAACATCATCTCGGGAGTTTAACTCCCAGAACTCATCTTCTGTGTCTACCACTTATTAGTTGTGTGTTCTACAGCATGTCACACAATCATTCTGAGTCTCAGTTTCCTCATCTGTATCATAAGATTGTTGTGAGGATTAAATGAGATAATACATGAAAAGCTCTTAGCATAGTTCCTGGCCTGTAAGTTCTCAATATACATTTAGCTGTGATTATTTTTTTCTGGTATGTTACCACTTCTGTAGTACTGTAAATACAATATAATACTTCAGATATATTATGGTAGATAGGCTTATGCAGTCTTGTCAGGGACAAAGTACACTTTTTGAACAGTGATTGCTTTCCTTTTTATTATTTTAAAATGTATTCTGGGATCCAAAATACTGAATATTACACACAAAATTTTGATAAGCGACCAAATTTATAAATGAGGCATTCTGTATATATTATTTCACTCTCATTTATTAGAATTTTGTGATTAATTTCTGTCCCAGAAATGACATCATAGGCTGAGCCCACCAGGGAATATATTAAATTAATTGTGCAACTATGGGATTACAAGTGCAAATAAATTATTCTCATCGTTTTATTTTTATTCAGAATTTGGAGTGCGCGTGGTTGGTACTCATTCTCTTAGAAGTTTCTGGCAAATATCTAAACTCTCAAAAATATTCGACAGCCACCCATCCAAATACGTGGAATATTCTTTGTAACTACAGCAAAGCAAGGTCCTTTGAGGCTTATAAACACCTAAGTCATATAGACCCAGATCTTTGTTTTCAAGAAACGTGGAATAGTGTTTTTGTTTGTTTTTTCCCAGTCCAAATGCCTTCCTTGGGTGCTGGGGAGCAAGAACCCTGCAGGAAGTTTAAGGAGAGGTCATGTTTGATATGCACGGGACTATTTCAGTGGGAATTACTTCATAGTGAGGCATGCACTGGACTGTTTGAAAGAGTAAAAATGAAGAACAGTGTGTTATGCGATATATCTTTGTGTTTTCCTTTCAAAAAATTGAGGGTGGTATCACTTTGGTTTCTTCTCCATAATCGTGATTGATGCACACACTTGAATTTCCACTGGAAATCTGGCAGGATAAAGGAAGGACAGCACTTCCTGCTTTTGTCTTGTCCTATCTCCTTTGAAGAAAACAGACTGTGTTTATTGTTTTCCTGTTCCAAGAAACTGTCCTTCCGTCTGTTAAGCCTTGCTGTTTCATGAGCTCTTACCTTCTTAACGGCACCACACTGCCTGTTTTCTGACAGTTAAATCTTCCTCACTTCTCGTTATCATTGGCTTCTTGTAAAGTCTTAGCCCTTACAGCCAAGGGAGCATGTGGTGAGCAGTTATACAGGAAGTCCCAATATAGGATCATCTCTTAGATGTGACCCTCTGTCATTCCAAAGGCCTTAGAATCCATTTCCTGGTCATTTCTCCTGAGCTGCCACCTAAAAGAACTGTGCTGAACTCTTATATTTGCTAGTCCCTGTCCTTCCTCCTGAGCAGTGAGTTAATATCACAAGTTTAGCAGCACATTTAGCTAACTTTCTTTCCATCTGTGGCAGGCTGGGTTAGAAATCAAATGAGAGGAATTTATGTAATAATATCACCACTATTTAGCTGTGTTCTACTATCTTTACTGAAAGAACCATGCAACTTTCTTTCCATCTGTGGCAGGCTGGGTTAGAAATCAAATGAGAGGGATTTATGTAATAATATCACCACTATTTAGCTGTGTTCTACTATCTTTACTGAAAGAACCATGCTTCAAAGGCAATCTTTCCAGAATCTGTCTGGAAAGTCCTTTGATGTGCTCACCTCCTGTCTGGGTGAGAGTTTATTAAAGAGGTGTTCACATAAGGAACATTTTTGCAGAAGGTACTTTGAGATTATTAGTGTTGGTAATAGAATAGAAGGTGAAACTGCTGTGTCTGCGTCTGCACTTGAAATGCAAACGGTGCTACTTTAATCACCATTTGTTTGGTCTGTTATGTGAGAGAAGTGGCCTACAAGTTCTTTTCTATCCCTGATACTGAAGTTGTTTTTTTCTTATGCAAAGCATCAGATGAACCCATGTGTTCATTTAGGAAAGATGAAAAACTAAAAGTTTTCTATTAATTTTACACCTTTATTTTTTTAGGAGCTTGAGTGAGAGAGAGAGACACTGAGTTATTTGCCATGTATGTGCATATACATGTGCACGCATATGTATGGCTTCTTTCATTTATTGGGAAGAAAGAAATATTCTACCATTTCTTTGTTAACCTCTTTAATGTTTCATTTTCTGACCTGTTGTCTTATCTTTAAATTATCCTGAAAATCACAGCAACCCCTGGTGGGTAAAATGANTTGCTTTCCTTTTTATTATTTTAAAATGTATTCTGGGATCCAAAATACTGAATATTACACAGAAAATTTTTAT